GACTATGACACGACGGCTGCTATTGTTTGAAAAATAACATATAACAAAAATGATAAATATGAACCGTGAGACGTGCCTCGTAGCGAAACATTAATGCTAGCTCTACACTCTCGCCGAGGCGACGCGAGGCAACGCGAGCACGAGAGTGTAGTCGGTTCACTCGTGTCGTCTCGTCTCGTCTCGCCTTGCCTCGTGCGTGCTCCGTTCGGTGTCGGTTTTTTTGTAGCGAGTCAAAGGACACGTGCCACGAGGCGAGGCTTATCAACTACATTCTCGCGCTGTCTCGTGCTTGTCTGGTTTGAAAACAGCCGTTTAATATTGGTTTATTTATTTATTGTTTAGTCATTTACATGATAAAAATTTTTTTCGTTCAATAATTTATTAAAATGTCTGACTGGACTAACGAAGATGCAATTGCATTTATGGAGCTTTATCAAACTAAACCTATTTTATGGGATCCAAAGCATCGTTGGCATAAAGATAAGGCCAAAGTAAATGATGCTTGGGTCGAAATTAGTAATGTGTTCAACAAACCAATTGATGAACTGAAAAATAAAAAAAATTCCATCATGGCAACGTTTCGTGGGCATTTAAGGAGAAAAAAGGCGTCGATCAGATCAGGAGCCGGGCAGGAAGATATTTATAAGCCAATATGGTTTTTATATAATCTAATTGAAAGTTTTATGGGAAATATTAATGATTGCAACGCTACTTTGGATACAGAACAGGTATGTACATATTTGGTGGATCGTGAAGTTAACGTAGAGTGGTACACTGTACTGTATTTGAAATTAACATCTTATTAACAATACAATTTTATTCATACAAATATAAATGTATTGAATCGAGTTTATTATTATAATATTACAAAGTTTATTATAGAATTCACTGTTTATAACTGTACTATTGTTTTATTACTGTCTATTATTGAAAAAATATGATGTAAATTCTTCTCGTATCTGGGTTGCATCCATGGGTGATCTTCGAGGTATATGATTAAAGGGTCTTAATGCACCATTTCCTTCGATTTAATTTCTCCAAGAACCTGATTGAATTATTAAACCATTTTCATCACACACGTCCATCGTTCCTGGAGGGTTATATAATGATGCAGAGGTTTCGCTCCTTCTTAAAAAATTATGTAATAGTATGCATGTCATAGTTATAATTGATACTTTTTCGGGTTCTAGTAAGATGGGTTTTTTAAAAATTCTGAATTTAGCCGTTAATATCCCAAACACATTTTCTACTACAACGCGTGAGCTTGATAATCTTTGATTGAATATTCGTTTTGGTGAGCCGACTGCATGGTTTCCAGGATATGGTTTCATTAAATTCGCACTAAGAGCAAATGCCCCATCCCCTAAAAAAACATATGGAATATCTGTACTAGTATTCGAACCATGAAGGGGTGATGGGGTTGGTAAATTGAGGCTATTTGAACAAATTTTTTGCCATAATAACGAATTTCTAAGTACACCGCCATCACTGATTCGCCCTTGACTTCCGATGTCTGCATATATAAAGCGATAATCACTACTGACTAATGCCATTAAAACAATGCTGAATGAGTTCTTATAATTATAATATTCTGATCCTGTATGGGGAGGGGATTGCAAAACAACGTGTTTTCCATCTATTACTCCGATACAATGGGGAAATTTTTTATTGAATCCCTCTTCTACCAACAACCACTCAGCAGCAGAAGATGGCAACTGAAACAAAAATGTATATTATTTTTTTATTTATTCCATCTTAGTATACATATCTTAGTATCTATATTAAAATATAATATTAATATTAAAATTTCAGGCATTTTTGTTCAAAATTAAAAATTTCATTCGATAAATTTTTTTAAATTACGGGTAAAAAAATTTAAAAAAATAATATTTAATTTTAGGGTAATAATTCACAAAATGCACAGGAGATAACGGCAGATGACAATATTAATGAAACAAATTTATTCAACCAAATCGGTCAACAAACTGAAGACGTCAATCAAACACAGCGTCGCCCACCGGTTACACCCCGACGCCGAAGTAATCCTACCGAACTAGAAGAAGCGGGAAAACAAATGAAAAAGGCTTTTAGTACTCTGGAAAGTTGTATAAATAACAGGAAAGAAGAAGACGAGTGCGATCTTTATGCAAAAATTTTCGCCAAAAAATTACGTAAACTACCTGAATGTGAACGTGAAATATTTATGTACGAGATTGATGGAATGTTTATTAATCGTTTACGTCATTGCAACAATCAATCATTGACTTCATGTACCAACCCTTCTTTTACTCCTCCAGTATCAAATCAACCAAAATCAGCTGTTGAAATAAATACACCAAAAAGACCATCATCGCCTTCTTTAAGTTCTTATTCTGAACCTGAATTAATTCCTCATTACTCTATTTCTCAGCCTCATTCACCAGTAATTCATATTCCGGAAAGAAGTGACACGTGTTCTAACTCTCCGATTTCAAACCTTTGCAACCCAGCCCAACTCTCCATCTCTACGTCAAACACTAATATTTCAAACCAACTAAATGTAACTACATCGAACGCTCCAAATTTAAAAGACACTGCTTTTTACGCTGCTCTTGACAATTACAGTGGAGATTATAATTGATATTAATTAATAATTAAAATAAGGCGAAAGTATAAATAAATGTAAAATTATGTTTCAGTTGTGATAAATTTAATGAAAGTTATATTTTTTATTTTTGTTGTTAAAATTTAAAAAGAAAACTAAGTTATGTTTTGTTTTGTTGTTAAAAATATTTAAAAAGTTAAAGTTTTGTTTCATTTGCATACAATATTATAAATTATTATGCCCGTATAAATTCATAATAAATTGTATATTTCACTCTACTTAGAATATTGTTACCTTTATTTCATCTTTGAGAAGGTCGTTGATTGCAGCACATACTTCTGGAACAATAATTGAAATGATTTGACTGGACACTTTAAACAAAAAATGTAAACTCTTATAACTATCTCCAGTAGCCAAAAATCGTAAAGTGATAGCAAGTCTGGTTTTGGCAGGTATAGGTTCTCTTAATTGAGTGTGTTTTTTAGATATCACAGGTGAAATCTTGTCTAGTATATATGAGAAATCTGATGATGACATTCGTAGGAAATTTTCAAATTCGCCTGAAGGTTCAAAAAGCAATTCTGCTAACATATGATCGGTACTTTGGCTGAAAAATTTTAAAATAAAACATAGATAATGATATATAGAAAAAATTTGGTAAAAAAAAGGGTAAAATTTACCTTGTTCTATTTCGGTGTATTTTTGTCATCCACCATCTCCTTTTTTTCCATGGTTTTTTAATATTTTTTTTTTGGTAAATATTGAGGAAATTATAGTAACTAAAAGCACACAATGCTGCCGCGGCGGTTAACTCGACCACGTCCATTTTGCATAATCGTTAACGCCCAAATGAGTATAAATTTGGAGAGTGTACGTCAAGTTGGTACGAGGCGACACGAGACTACACGAGAGTGTAGAGTGTGCATTCGTGCGGTGCCTCGCCTCGCGTTAACTCGACAAGACTCTCGACGGGGCGACCTCGCGAGAGTGTAGAGGAAGCATAATACCCAGAAATTCTGGGCCAAAATAGCACTCAATAATTTTGCAATTCCCCAGCACACAGTGCTCAGAAAAACGAGACGTCGCTAGTCTCATG